AGCCCCCAGCTGCCTCGCCAGGTGTGTGGGACTGAAGTTCTTGGAGAAGGGAGTCCAACTCTTCAAGGTAACTGTCTCCTTCCCTCCAGAGCGAGGCTCTCTCCTAGGGCGCCCGGCGAGCCAGGAACCTGGCTGAGGCTGCACGCCCCGGGGCTGGGGGCTGCACTGCCTCGGTGTCCGCCCTGGAGCTATGTGTGCCGGGGGCTCTGGACATCCACCGGCTGCGTCCGCGGTGGAGTTGAGCAAACTTTTTGGCTGTTGCAGACTCAGTGAATGGGGCAAAGGAACACGTGAGGAGGGGCACTTGTCTCCTAGTCCGCCAGGATGAAGGAACAAGGGATCCTTTACTCCAAACCCCCATGTGATTTTAAATGGTAGGGTCTGGAAGGACCCATGGTTAACAGAGTAGCAGCTTCACAGTCAAGGGAATGTGGGTTCAAATCCCCGAGGTGCTACTTTTGAGCTGGAAGATGTGTTTCACCTTCCTGAGCCTTGGCCTGCCCTCTGTCAGCCGAGAAGGAGAAGGCCTTCGCGAGGTCTGGAGGAATAAATGAAATCATATGGACAGTATGTCAGGGACACGGCGGGTCCTAAGCGGAGGCTAGATAGCCCATCCTTGGCCACTTGGCTTACTCCAAGGACCAGAGTGCCTTAAGTGTCTGCCCAGGGGAGATTGGCAGAACCTGGGACAGAGCTACTGAACTGCCAGCAGGGGAGAGGAGAGTAGTGCCCTGAACACACGGGTGTCCAACCAAGAAGGGGCATTTCTCAAGGAAGAAAGGGGAGAGGAGTTGAGGACACACGCCCACGAGCGGCTTTTCCGTCTGTGGGTGCGGTTTTTCCGTCTGTGGGTTCCTCTGCAAAGGAAGTCAGTGCTGGTGGAGCAGGAGCTCTTTCCAACCCTGGGGTTGGGTTGGAGGCTGTCAGTCTGTCAACTGAACCACACTCTAGGCAGAGCAAGCTGCGGGGGTGGGGGCTTGTCTCTGGTTGTGAGACAGGATCCAACCCAAACTTTTCCATCATTATCCTCCTTTCAGTCATGAGCTGGGTTCTGACAGGATCCTGCTAGGGTTTCACCATGAAGAAGCTGGAGGTCCAGCATGTTGACTGATATGTAAATTCCGGTTCTGTGGGGGTGGCAGCCAGGAGGAAAATACAAAGCTGAATTGGGTTAGCATGGTGTTTTGGGGTCCTGGGAGCTGCAGTGGATGGGTGTCTGAGGGGACTCTGGACCTTGAAAATGCACCCACCTTGTCTGACGAGGAGGGCAAGTGGACCCAGAAAGGTGCAATGAATTTCTGAAGGTTGCACTGTGATTTAGGGGCAGGGGCAGAACTAGAATCCAGGTTTTCTGAGGCCATAGTCAGTCCCTTGTCCTGATTTAAGAGTCCAGAAGTCTTGGGTTCTAATCCTTACCTCTTTCTTGTCCTGGGTTGCCATGGACAAGGAGCAATCAGCTTGCCCATGCACCCTGGGCAAGGTGGGTTTGGAGGCTCTATGAAGATACGGTGTAGGAGTGTTGGCTTGTCAATCTCAGGATCCAGGGAGAAACTGCGGGAAATGGAAAGGCAATGGGGAAGAAAACCCCGAAGCTTGTTGGAAGAGGAAGCATTGAGTGGGAGTGGGAAGGGGAGGTTCTAACCTGAAAGAAAGATTGCAGAAGAGTAGATCTCCCCAGTTTAAAAAGTTTCAGAAGAAGGAATTGTCAGAAGGAAGAAAATATCTCTTAGAGAGATACTGGAATTCCGCAGGTTACCTTGAACTGTGTTTCATTTAGATATACTTATGTGTAGTTTCTAGTGCTGTGCCTGGTATTTTCATTCATTCTCCACTATCTGCTGAGCGCCACCTAGGTGCCAGGCTTTGTGTTCAATGCTGGCCCACAGCAGATACTCAATAAATAGCAGATATGAGATGACCCAAGCAAAGGGCTTAGCATAGTGCCTGGCACTGGGCAAGGACTCAGTAACTGTTTGATATTATTAATATTACTATTATCATTCTTAATTCTAGCAGAAATTTGAATGTTTTTCTTTTCCTAGAATATTCCATGAAAATCATACTTAAATGGGAATGTTTTGTTTAATGTTTGGAAGCCCTCCTCATACCCAGGCACACCTCTTGCCCCTGTTCCCCATCACTAACACACACACACACCCAATCCCAGGCAGCCACTCACCCCTGTATGCTGAGGCAGAGCATTCTCCTCATCTTATGCCCCCTCCCCAATTAGAGAGGGAGCTCCACGAGAGAGTTCACTCCTGAGACAGTGGGCAAGAGCCAGGAGGGTGGACAGCCTGGCATGCAAGGAAAACTGGGGTTCAAATCCCAGCCCAGCCACTCACTGGCTACCTCGCTTTGATGAGGGTACTGAGCCTCCCAGAGGCTTCATTTCCTCTTCTCCAAAAAGGGGAGAAAATCCTCCAAGAAGAGATTTTTGTGAAGATTAAAAGACATAAAGTGGGTGCCTTGTCCAGCTCTCAGCAAGCACCACAAACCTTAATTCCTCTCCTCTAACAGCTCCTAAGCCCCCTCGGGGGTCACAAACCCCAAGTTATGGATAGCAAAAATTTCAAATACTTTATCTTGGTAAGAGACTGTGTGTCCTAACTTTTGGTGTGATCTTTGTTTTTTGTTTCTGTTTTGTTTTGTTTTGTTTTGTTTTTTAAGATGGGATTCTCGCTCTGTCATCCAGGCTGGAGTGCAGTGGCCCAATCTTGGCTCGCTGCAACCTCCGCCTCCCAGATTCAAGTGATTCTTGTGCCTCAGTCTCCCGAGTAGCTGGGGTTACAGGTGTGCACCCCCATGCCCGGCTAATTTTTGTATTTTTAGTGGAGACGGGGTTTCATCATGTTGGCCAGGCTGGTCTCAAACTTCTGACCTCAGGTGATCGCCTGTCTTGGCCTCCCAAAGTGCTGGGATTACAGGCATGAGCCACCATGCCTGGCCAGTGAATTTCTTTTTAATGATGCCTTCTAGTACTGGGTTCTTCCCAAGGCCCTTCTTATTGGGCCCTTAGGAGGACCTCAGCTGAGCCAAAGGAAGCCCATGAGACCCTGCCTAGAGTTCCACTTTGAGTCTGTCTTTGCTGCTGCAGGGATGTCTAGCACCAGATTTGTCCAACTGCAGGTTGTGAAATCAATTTAGCAGGGTTCTTAATAAAATAGGAAATACTAGATAATCTCATAGTGCCTCCTGTGTAGCAAAGGTAAGTATTGTTTCTGGAAACTTTTGTTTCTGTTATATATTTTGAAGCCCTCTATAAGGGTATGTGTGTTTATAAAATAAATGTATATATGCAAATATATACACTTTTGATATTTGCATATATGTATATATATGTATATTTTTTACTATATTGTTCCCAATGATGTTTCTGTCTCAGAAATTCCAGCATTGTGGCCCTAGGTGGCAGGTGCTGGGGTGTCCTTGCTGCCACTGCATCAAGTGTTGAGGAGTCAAGGCAGCTGAGGTGAAAGCTGGAGTTGGGGAAAGGCAAGTTCAAGGAAGAGGACCCAGAGTCAGAGAGGAAGCAAGGCATGGAGGACAGGTCTACTTACAAGTAGAGGAGGGAGGGGACAGGCCAGCAGCTGCCCTGGGAAAGGGGATCTGGAGCACTGCTTGGGAACAGGAGCCTTCCTCTTCTGCTGTCACGCCTGGCCTCATGGCCATGCTTCGTGTCCTGATGGTAGCTACGCTGCAGCCCTGATAACTTAAAGGAAGCCCTTTCAATGAGATGAAGGGCCTGTTTCTGTGACAGCTACTTTGGGAGTGGCTGCTCCCCTTCCGCCAGATCCAACAGGACACAGCCATCCCTGCGAGGGAGTCTGAGCCCCTGGACACAGCTGAAGAAGGGCCACTGGGAGGCCAGCAGAACAAGGGGAGGGCTGGAGAAGGAGCGGGAGTGCAGGCGAGAGGAGAACCAGAGAGGGGGAATTTGTAGAGAAAACGGTAAAACGGTTCCTTTTTTCAAAAGTTGAATCCAGGGCAAGAACGGAAACGGCGGAGTTTACTTTTAAAAACTCAGAGCCTCCTTGTAAGCGGTGGAGTGTGTGTGTGTGTGTGTGTGTGTGTGTGTGTGTGTGTGTGTGTGTGTGCATGCGCGCTGGGAGGGCGGGCCCTGTGGGCTGGCCAGGCCTATGAGAGGTGACTTCTCTCCCTTTCAATGGCCTTACAGTGTATCCTAAAGAAGCTTTTTGTTAAGCTCATGAATAGGTGGATTTGGGGTGTGTGATGCTGGGCATCACGATTTGGATATTTGGTTACCTTTGAGGTTACATGTTTTTCCTTTTAAGATACACACTCAAAAAAGGAGCCACCTCTTCTGTGTAGGTCGCTATTTTGGTGTATGTGGGGGCAGGGGTGCCTGTCTCTCTGTAATTGATTTGACTTGAAGGGTTAGAGTAAGAAGGAGAAACACAGGACACAGCAGGTCTGCAATGCCTGACCTAGGAGACAGTCCCCCTCGGCTCCCTGGTCTCTGGCAGTCCCCAGATCACAGATGCGCAGGGCCTTCCAGGCCTGTGATGGTCCTCGTTTAAGAGATCGCAAAAGGGACCCAGGCCCAAAGAGGGGAAGGTTGCTACCCCAGAGCAGGTTGGTAAGAATCTGGACAGGGATCTAGACCTTCAGGCTCTCATCGCAGAACATGTCGTATTCCCAGAGACCATTCATTCATTCATTCATTCATTCATTCTCCTTTCAGCAGCACTTGCTACATGCCAGGCACTGTGCTAGGCATGGATAACACAGCGGTGAATAAATCAACTCACTTTTTCTGCCCTCCACCTGCTTACAGTCTAATGGGGAAGACTGGCTATAACCAACCTGAACCTGACCCCTCATTTCTATACAGCAATGGCTCTCACCTGGGGGCTCTTTTGCCCCCCTTCCCCAGGGAACATTTGGCCATGTCTGGAGACATTTTTTGTTGTCACCACTGGAGAGTGAGGTGCTTGCTGCTAGTGTCTCATGGATAGAGCCAGGGGTGTTGTGAAACATCTTACAGTGTATAGCACAGCCCCCGCCCACATACATGCACAATAGAGAATTATCTGGCCCACAATG